GGATGGAGTGCAGTAGCACGATCATGGCTCACTGAAGCCACAGCCTCAAGCGATCCTCCCAGCTCAGCCCCTTCAAGCACCTGGGATTATAAGCATGCGCCAGCACGCCGGACTCATTTTCATATTTTTTAGTAGAGAAGGGGTTTTACCATGTTGCCCAGGCTGGTCTCAAACTCCTCAGCCTCCCAAAGTGCTGGGATTACAGGCATGAGCCACCACACTGGCCTAAATATTTTAACCTATGTTGTTTCATTGCAACCCCACAGCAACCTAAAGTCTTTTACATTTTACTTTGGAATAATCACCTGGTTATTATTGGTTGAGAAAGGTTAACCAGCTTGTCCAGGGTCACCCAGCCAACTAGGGCCCAAGCCCCAAATGCCCCTAAATGCTGCTGGGTCTGCTGTGATTCCGATGGAGAAATGCTGCCTTCCTTATTACTCATTTATCTCAATATCAAGAGGTTTTGAGAATGGCTTAAACCATGAGGATTTTTCAGGGATAGTGATTTTTCAATCACTTTGGGAGGCTGAGTTTTCATTTTCGTAGCCAAAATACCATTTAAAGGAATCAGAAAAAAATGCTTTTGCCTTCACATTTAAGAATATATATTTTTTTCTTTTTCTTTTTTGAGACAGGGTCTTGCTCTGTCACCCAGGCTGGAGTGTGTGGTGCGATCTCAGCTCTCTGCAGCCTCAACCACCCAGGCTCAGGTGATCCTTCCACCTCAGCCTCCTTGGTAGCTAGAAGTACACAGCTATAGGCATGCACCACTATACTTGGCTAATTTTTATATTTTTTGTAGAGACAAGGTATCGCCATGTTACCTAGGCTGTCCTCGAACCCCTGGGCTCAAGCCATCCTCCCACCTCGGCCTCCCAAAGTGCTGGGATTACAGGCATGAGCCACTGCTCGCGGCCTCAAATTTCTGAAATAACTCTCTTCAGTCTCCTGGAAGGCACTGCCAAGGGTCAGATGCTTAGTACTGAGCTGCTCTCCACAGGCTCTCCTGTTAACAGACTCATTTGGTGTACATATTATCTAAAATGCTTAAAAGGAAAATTTAGAAATGAACTTAATATTTGGTGACATCCATACCTGAATTATAATACTAATTCTAAAATAAGCTATTTCTACTGATTTACTTTTCACTGATATCCATTTAAATATACATTAATATCCCCAAACATATGGGAAATTAATAACTTTAATTAGCATTTATTTTCTACTTGGACGAAATCGTCATTCATCAGTAAGTGAATATTTTACCACTCTATCGAACCTGTTTGGAATCAAAACAAGCTTTTGTGTTTTCCCGATTAATTCTCAGGAAATTGAGATGTTCCCGGCTGAAAGAGAACCCCGGTATTCCAGGGTATCCCCTAACACATATACACACAGAGAGGTGTTAATTGGGCCAGGCATAAAGATCTTGAAAGCTGATACAATTCTAGGCTCTCTGCTTCATGTGGTTTGAATGTCAGTTGAAAGAAATCAATTTTCTAAAAATTACAATAAAGCATGCATTGAGTTATCAATATTCACTTTCTATGGGGTCATTTTCAAGTCAATCACCTAAAATGTTCAAAGACCCCGCTTTATGATGCTCAGAAAGCTGCAAAGGTGGAAACACATCTTTCCTCTTAGTTTCACATCCTCTTGTGCACCCATTTTTCCCCCCACTGTCACGGCATGAAGTGTTGTGGGATTGTGAGTGTGTTTGTGTGTTCTCTGCTTATTCTTTGTACTTCAACTGAACACCACCTTAGATCATCCTTGACAAGTGAGTAAAGGTTATCATTAGCATGTTGAATAATGGATGGGTTCCATTCTATTTTCTTGTTTAGGAAAATAAATCATTCTGAAATCTTGTATTATGTTCTATGTGAAATGGAAGCACATCAGCCCTTGTTATGTTTTCCTCTCCTGAGTCGGTTTGGCAAGGTGCCTGAGGCTGGAAAGAACAGCCAGGGGTTGCCAAGCAAGGGCTGGCTTGATTCTGTGCCCGTTCCTCTAGGGGATATAAACATCCTGCCCTGGAATACTTCACCAACCTGTAGCTAGAAAACTCCCGTGTACCACGGGGCAGCTGGGAGAACTGGAAACTGTGAGTCACAGCACCCATGAGGCCCTGCTGGGTAACGAGGAGGTCAGGCGTTGAAGTTTCATCCGCTCCACCCCAGCCCCCAGAATGAGGATGGCACTCAACTCAGTGGAGAAACATATAGGAATCATCTGTAGGGGAAGGGCCAAGGAGTCTAGGATTTCCTGAGGACCTACTGCCCACATGCTGGACACTGTGCTGGGCACCTTCATGCACCTTCACTCATGTCAAATCGAGCAGTGTTGCCTAGTGGTTAACACCACAGGTGTCTAAAGGGAGACATACCTGGGCCCCACCACTCACTGACTGGACAGTCTTGGGGGCAATTTGCTTAATCTCTCTAATTCTCAATAGATGATCAGCCAAATGGAGACGGACCAGTTAAAATACTGAAATCCTTTCACACCACAAGGGCAGGAGCAGTTGCCCTGAGTCCTGAGAACACACACATTCCCACTGCCCTTGCCGAACCAGCCGGTTCCTGGAAACCACCGAATTATGCAGGAGAGTAAGGGAGACTCAAGCCTAGAAGAGCTCTTGAAGGCAAGGGCTAGTGTGCTGTCATTGACCGGTGCCCATGTCATACCAGTCGCTAGCCAGCTTCACAGGGCTGTCATAGGAGGAGTCTACAAGGCCTATCATGTAACAGGCCTGAAATACAGGACAATCATAGTTATGCCCATTAAATAGATGGGGAAAGCTAGGCTAAACAAGATTAAACAACAGGGTTAAAGCCATGTATAGAACCAGGATATGAATCTAGGTGAGTTGGACGCACAAGCTTGCACCTCTCAACCCTGATGTATCGATGGAGAATCATAAATGCCCATTTAATGACAGGGTAAAAGTGCTTCCCTCCTAGAAAGAGCCAAATGGATTTCAGATGTCCATGCTCATCTAAATGTCGCCCTTGAGGATTCATGTAAAAGGCAAGCATGAACCCAGTTGCTAAATGTTTTAATCACAGAAACTGCTTTTCTCAAACCTGAATAGAACATACTGGTCTCAGCCATGGCATCAACTGTGACAGGGGCACAGATCGCCCTTTGACAGGATGCGATTCTTGTTTGGGCACTCTGAATGGGCCATGAGTGGGACCTCTGTGGTTCTGCGTGAATGAGGATAGGGGAGGAAGGAGAAAGTGTGTCAAGATCTAATTCCATATTGAGAATAACATTATTTCTTTAAAATTTTTATCAGGGTAGAATACGGCCAGGATATATTAAAAACAATAAAAGTTCACCAATTAGAAATGCAATTTTCACATGTGTCACACCACAGTTCCTATACCTACTGTCTTCTGAGTCCACGCCCTGCTTCTCCATCAGGTATTAATATTTGAGTATGAAATAGTCACCTGCAGGCAGGAAGGTGCTTTCATGAGAATAGAATATAAGGGAGTTAAATTTGGTTAAGAAACAGGGGGAAAGGCAGGAACATTATTGGGAGGAGGCCAGAATGCAGATTATTCTAGAAGCAATGTAGGACTTTGCTATTCAGCCTGTGGTTCTCAGACCAACAGCAACGGTGTTGCCTGGGAGCCCATCAGATGTCAGAACCTGTGGCCCACTCCCGGCCCAAGGATCGGAATCTGTATTGTAATCAAATGCCCGGGCAGTATGCATGCTGACTGCTGGAGAAGCTCTGCTCTAGAAGGCCCAGCCTCTGCTCACACTCGGTGGGTAGGAGTTGGTGGGGGTGGTGTGAGCAGAAAGTGAAGCTATAAGAGTTGGGAAGGTACCCAAGTGTTTGCCTAAGAGATTATCCTGTCTGAATCGGCTGGAGGAGAAAAAAAAAAAAAATCTGTTCTCCAATGATGAGCAGGCTGCGGTTGCAGTTGCACACAGCGTGATGACCATCTGTGTATAAAAAGTGAAGTTGAAAAAAAAAAGCAAGCAAGCCAAGAAAAGAAACACTGAGCAGGAGTGCAGAATTGCTACAGAGGCTAAGCGCGGCCAGGTGTGTAAGCGGGAAAGCCAGTCTTGAAGATCAAAGGCAAGTCGATTGTAAAAGACAATATCTTGCCCACCAAACCTGGGCCCTCTGAATGGAGAGAGGGTGACATCTGAATAGACCAGATGTTAGCAGCTGAGGGATCCTTAGAGCTTAGAATAAACTCACCTAAATAGCTCTGTGGCATCTAAACCTCATTATCTGCCAGGCCCACTGCTAAATACAAACACAGGTTCTATCAGCAGATGTGAAAGAAGTCCTTCCAAGCACCCAGCTGAGGCAGGAGGAATTTTCGGTCTCTGTGGTAAACGGGTAGTAATTAATTACAGAATGCTGAAGCCCAAAAAGTAAGTTCTCTTTTGCGGATGACCAGGAGATGTGGTTTTTGGAAACAGCTGTGTGAGCACTTCACGGTAACCAGTCTGGGGCCATCACAGGTGCTGTCTCCCACAGGCCTGACACGGGCCAGGCAGGTTATTTTTGTGAAGGATGAGGGACTGAAGCTCTGAAGCTTCCACCCCTCCCCCCACCTGCATTTCACTTCCGGTACCCCAACACCATCCTTCCACCAGCACCCCAGCAGAATCGCAGGGGATTGGCAAGGATACGAGTGTTTCATCAACTTGTGAATTTTCCACAAGTACAAGCTGGTCTCCTCTTAATTGCCCCCACAGAGATTCTCATAAATACGTTTAAATATAATATTATTGTTATTTTACTTTGTTCTTCTAGATGGCACTTTTCCTTCAAGCAGCTCAAAAGAATAATTCAGAAATTATCCAATTAATCTTTGCAAAATTCCTGTGAAGAAGGGGGTTGGGGCGGCAGTTTCTCTACGTTTCTGGAGGAGAGGAAAGGAACAGAGAGGTTAAAGGGTCTGGAGTGAAATAAAGATGACCCTGAAATGGAAACTGGGAAGCCCCATGCTCCCAAAGGGTCCTCAATTTCCAAGTTTATCATCATTCAAAGTGTGCAACTGCTTAGGCCAGTACCCTAAGTGAAAAGCACTAGTATTCAGATCTTGCTGTCATGTCTCAGGAAGTCATGACTTCGTGCAAGTCACTGAGCCTCCTTGGGCCTCCATTTCCCCATCTGTCAAATCAAAGGGAAACCTTAATGGGATGTAGCATAGAAAAGACCCAAGCCCTCTCCTTCAGGGTAGCAAACCCTCTGGAATCCAACCCCAGTGGACTCCTTTGCAGTTTTATGCATGAGGCTGTCTTAGGCTTCGCAGTGGAAATGGAGCAAGAGAGTCCAAGATCAGGCGTGAGAGACAGCCTGATTCAGATCTTAGCTTCAGCACTTTTTAAGCCCTATGACTTTAAACAGGTCACTTAACCACTCTGAGCCTCTGTTTCCTCATCTGTCAAATGGGGGATGGTGACGATTCAATGAGATAATGCTTATGATGGGTCTGACACTGACTAGGTGCTCAATAAGTATATAGAAAGCGGTTAAGAGGAGGAGCCTGGGATCAAAGTGTCGGTATTTGAATCCTGGCTCACCACTTTCCAGCTAAGTTACCTTGGACAAGTCACCTTGCCTTGCTGGATAAGAAAATTTCCTACAGGATTAAGCAAGTTAATATATGTAATTTGTAAAAGAGTCTGGTGCAGGGTCTATGCTTGATAAATGTTATCATTAATCAAAATTCTTGCTTAATTTCTTGTTTCCATTTTGTCTTAAGAAACTGCAAACGCTGGCCTCCACCTCTAAGGAAGGAGATTACTCCATAGTGTAAGGGCAAGGTGGAGGACAGAGTGTCTCAGTATAGAACCACTTTCCACCAGTAAATTGAAAGAAGCATCTCTTAACTAGAAGTATTCCCTCTGGAATTCACAGGGCTATGGTCTGCCACTCATGGGCTAAGCAATGCTGGGCAAGTCCCTGCACTTTCTCTCGGCCAACTCATCTGCAAACCAGTGGTAACCAGCTCACTGCCTTGATTTGTTAGAAAGATTTTATAAGCTAGTGCACACAAACACACTTTATAAACTCTTAAATGCCTCATCTATTGAAAGTGCTATCAATTCAGAAAGATACGCTTATACTGGAAAAGCACACAAAGCTCTGAATTTTCATTAGAACATGGGGAAAACTCAACATGTGTGCTTCTACGTTTCATTCCTCTGAATTACAAAATACAGTGTTAAAAATCTCTTGTCTCAGGTAGGAGAAGAATGAAGGCACTTTAATTTCCGGTGGTGCCAGCACATGGGGTTTGGGCTTCGCCACCAGCTGCTGTGAAACCAAACCAAACAAACAATATATCCATCCACCCAAAGTAACTCAAAGTAACTGGATTTTTCTTTGCTGAGTTTCCTGTGAATACTTCAAAGCCTGGAGACTTTGCAGATGTTTTCTTGGTGGTGATTTCCCTTTAGCAAACACATGGGAAATACTCCAATAAGAGAGAAACCAGCTCCATGAGAGAAGATTTGGGGGCAGACATGGAGGGAAGACGGCTTGCAAGCTGAGCATGATGAGTGCAGTAGCCTGATCTTCATTTCTCAGATACTCAGCACACATTTGCAGCTGGGGCTAATTCTTCAGCTTCTCTCCAGTGTTTACAGCAAGGAAGCACTTCTTGGGTTCTAGCCCGTGAATAGTCAAAACTGAACTTGACTAGAAAGCATTATATTAAATATTTCACTATTGCTAAGACCCTTCTTGCAAGCCGCCATCCCCATCAGAAGAGAAGAACAGGCAGCCTCCTGTCCCAGTTGGAGGAGTGGGAGGGGAACACTGGACAAAGGATGGGTCTCCTCGCCTGTTGTGTTATTTCCAAATTTGTGTTTCTTTTACATTTTTGATTCTCCTTCCAAAGCAAATTTCCCTAAACATGTAGTTGGGGAAATGTTTTTACCTTGAGCATCTCTAAAGCTATAACACAGAAAGTAAATATTTGCTTTCGGGAAAGTTTGTTTGTGGATTAAAATCTGCTTCTTGGAATCAAGAACCAGCTTATCCTTTCAAAATAAGAATTTATTACAAAACTACGACACTGTCTACAAACCTACAGACAAGGATGGTAACAGTCCATGCAGTCGGCAAAATGACCGCTCCCAGGCTCTAAGGCAGGCCCCTCGGGTGTTCTCCAGGGGTGAAGATGGTGCCCATCACGCTCTCGCCAGGCATCAGCAGGATGCTTTGCAAGGCAATGGCCTAGATTTTGGGGTGAGGACCCCCAGTTGCAGGACAGAGTGAAGCTTCTTCATCCACTGGATCACCAAACCCTCAGGGCCAACCAGGCGTTTACCGGGAGTTGCTCCGCCTGCCTGCCTGTGGTTCGCGGCTCATGCCTCACTGTTTTATGAAACAAAGGTCCTTTGAACACTTACTATGAGCCGGGCATGGAGGTCACCTGAGCGAACATCATGGTCTCTGCCATCACCTAATCTAGTGTGAAGGACTTGCAAATAGCGTGCCATCTGCTATACTTGAAGGGGTGCAGGGCTCCAAGCAACAGAAGAGGGATACCCCCTGAGATGGAGAGGGGCTTTCCTGAAGAAGATCAGGCAGGTAAGTGGGCAGAGAGAGGGAGGGAAGAGAGTGCTACAGCAGACTGGGCAGCCTGTACAACAGCACCTGGGAAGGTCCCTCCCTTGCAGGAGCAGTGGGAGGGGTCATGGGAGTGGATCCAGAAAAGGCTGTAGACTTAGCTCGTTGTGGGCCAATGGAGAAGTCAGGACTTCATCCGTCAGGCAACAGGGAGCCACTGCACCACCAGGTCCCAGCCCACTGGCTTCTTGTTTTATGTTAATTACTCAGCTTGATCAAGCCTAACTACATACAAAGCTTAGGATACTACACAAAACCAGGGCAGAATCATCATCTTCATTCTCCAGTTAAAAAAATGGAGCTTTGGATTTAGACAACATGACTTAGTTCACCTAATTATTGGAAGTTGATGCCACAGTGGATCTTTTGGGGTTTTGTCACCCAGAATCGATGCCTCCTCTTTTTGGGGGGCAGAGGATCATCTTCATGATTTCACCCCAGCTGTAGGGGTGGGTGACTTAAGCCTGGCCCGGCACAGCATTTCCATCCTTTGGCCACAGTGACTGCCTCAGGAAAGAGAATCGGGTAGAACTAATGGTACAAAACCTTGGGGCTTACTGGGACAGTTGAGAGAGAGAGAGAGAGAGAGGCCCACTGTGTCTTTTTTGGACTGGAAACTGGGAGCTCATGCCTGTAATCCCAGCACTTTGGGAGGCTGAGGTGGGTGGATCACTTGAGGTCAGGAGTTCAAGACCAGCCTGGCCAACATGGTGAAACCCCATCTCTATTAAAAATATAAAAAGTTAGCTGGGTGTGGTGGCATGTGGCGGTAATCCCAGATACTCAGGAGGCTGAGGCATAAGAATTGCTTGAGCTCAGGAGGCAGAGGTTGCAGTGAGCTGAGATCGCACCACTGCACTCCAGCCTGGGTGACAGAGGGAGACTCCATCTCAAAAAACAAAACAAAACAAAACAAACAAAACCGCCCCTCACAAAAAAAAAAAAAAAAAAAAAAAAAAAAAACCCAATCAACCAACCAGACAAACAAACAAAAAAACTGGAGGGCGTATGTCTACAGCTGGAGAATGAAGAACCAAGAGGTTGTCTCCTGGATCAAACTGTACCTGAAGCTGCTACTCTACAACTTTTCAATTACATCAGATATAAATTTTTTTTCTTATAAGAATCTTTGCTGCTTTCTCTCATTTGCAGTGATGGAGCCCTGAGGCAATGGTGCTCATGGTGACCCTCTCCCACTTTACCCCTCATGTTATAAGCTACTGAAATTGATTTGGTGTTTTGCTATATTCTTATTTAAAAAACTTATCCCAGTGAAAATTCAAACATGGAATAAATTGAGCTCTGAAAATAAAAGCAGAGTACAGAATATAGGAAAGTGTGATTTAAACACTGATAAAATTGTAGCTGTGTAGGAAGAAGGGAAGTGGATGTAGAGTGAGGGGACTGGAATGCAGCTCTTGCTTTGCGGGCTCACCTGCTCTGTGACCTTGTGCAAGCAGCTTTTCCTCTCTAAGGCACAGCACCCTTAACTGTAAAATAAGGGAGTGTCGCTGGATGGGACCCTGACTTAGTGTCCATGACCTTCTTTTTAGGCTGCTTTAGAACCACAGGTTAATACAGCTGGGCACAATGGCTTATGTCTGTAGTCCCAGCTACTTGGGAGGCTGAGGCAGGAGGGTTGCTTGACCCCATGAGTTCAAGGCTGCAGTGACCTACGATGGAGCCACCGTACTCCAGCCTGGGCAACAGAGCAAGGCTCTATCTCTAAAAACAAACAAAATCTAAAATTTGGCTAACACAGATTTAGAAAGTTCTTTCATATTCAAACATAAATGAAGGTTTATCTTTCTTCTAAGAAAGTCCACACCTAATTGTCTGTGGCAGATGCTGCTAAGAAAGGTTCATCACTGGGCTTGTGTTCAGGGAAGTGGAATTATGTAACTGACAAACTCCAGAGGACCTAACTTGTACTGGCTCTTGAAATCTCAATGGCAGCCCTGCGAGCGGATGGCAGAGAGGGACCAATGGGTCTCCAGCCTGGCTTCAGCCTTTGTATGCTCAAGACAACACTCCACCACCAAGTCAACAGAGAGGGAGGACATTCTCCAGGTGCACTCTTAACCACCCCAGAACCGCTCTCTAGCAAACCCTGACAACGAGTTCCCAAGGCTCAGCTAGTCATGGATTTCTCTTGATGACTCCAGCCAGTGAGATTGATGGCAGCCCACTTTCATGATCCCATGAAAGCTGTGCTGGTTAGTTTATAAATGTTGACACTGACAGGTTGCACATGGGTAGTGATTTTAATAGAATCTAATGGGCTGAGTGCTTTATTGATCTATTCTGCTAAAAATTAGCCAGAGGATTTCTACAACCAACTTTTAAAAAGAGATACTTCTCCCTATTTTGAACGTCTTGCAATGAGGACACTATAAGAATCAGAGACAT